CGCAGCCAACTGATCCGTATGAACACCCCAGTTGCCCTGTGGGTGGTCTTTAACCTTTCAGTCCTCTACCAGAGCATATACAGTAGTGAAAAAGTGTTTGCCCGCTTCCTGATTTGCTAGTATTTTGCGTATCACACTTACATGTTTCATCAAGCAAATCTTGATATTAGACAAAGATCCAGGAGGTCACAAAAGAACCCAGAACAACATTAAAGAACAGCAGGCGTCAGTAATCTCAGTCAATGTCAGAGTTTTTGATTCAAGAATAAGAAAGAGACTGGGCAAAATAACATACACTATCTCTCAAACGTGAGCACACCCTCCTCACATTTTTGTAAATATTTTATTCTATCTTTTCATGGGACAATAATGAAGATATGACACTTTAATACAATGTAAAGTAGTCAGAGTACAGCTTGTATAACAGTGCAAATTTCTCAAAATAACTCAACATACAGCCTTTAATGTTTAAACCGCTGGTAACCAAAGTGAGTACACCCCTAAGTGACCAAATTATTCCCATTTAGCTATTTTACCTCCCTGGTGTCATGTGACACGTTAGTTTACAAGGTCTCAGGTGTAAATCGGGGACAGGTGTGTTGAATTTGGTGTAATTGCTCTCACACTCTCTCAGACTGGCCACTGGAAGTTTAACCTGACACATCATAGCAAAGAATTCACTGAGGATCTGAAAAAAAGAATTGATTCTCTGCATAAAGAGGCCTAGGCTAAAAGCATGTTGCCAACACCCTGAAACTGAGCTGCGGCACAGCAGCCAAGACTGTACAGAGGTTTAACAGGACAGACTCCACTCAGGACAAACCTCATCATGGTTGATCAAAGAAGCTGAAAAAAAAAGTGACTTCTAGTAAGCTGAACTTTTTTGATGTCTATCTTCTGGTTGTTTCAGATACTGAAGTGTCCTGTGTTTATATGGAGAACTGCACATTGCCATGCAGCTATGAGGGTGCTGATGTAGTCATTCACTGGCATCAGGTGTCAGCAGGAAATCTTCCCGTTCACTCATTCTTCCACAATCAAGACCAGCCAGGAAACTCGGCCCAGCGCTTCAAAGGCAGAGCATCAACCTTCAAGGACCAGATCTCCAGAGGAAACGCCTCAGTCCTGCTGACAGGAGTGAAGGTTCAGGATGAGGCCAGATACAGATGCTACACCAGCACCATCAATGGAAACATGGAGTCATTTATCAACCTAAAGACAGATGGTATGAGACAAAAAAGATACATTTATTTAGTGATTCAGTTTTAAGTTGTTATACTTATTTGTCTATTCTGTTTTCCACTGAATAAAGTTTTACATTTGTAACTTTGTGTTATGATTAGAAAGCAAGAGTGTAAAGTTATTTACTCAGGGTTAGTGGTCAACAGTCGTATATATGTAGATAACATACCTGACCAGGAGATGTAAACCTTATTCACACACTACAAAAACTCTAAATAGCTGTGCGTATGTGAAATGTTCAAACTGAGAACAGTAAAGAGATTTCTATTCAAAAAACATGAAACGCAATATTTATTAGAGTTTGTAGCCAGTTACTAGTCTCAACATGGAAAGATGTTCTGCTTCCAATAGTTCATTAACTATATTATTTCACTATATTACTTCATTCTGTACAAATACCTGTCCCTCCCTTTTAAACTGCTATAGTCCAAATCCCTCCATAACGTTAGCAAAAGAATACAATTTTCTTTTCCTTTCTTGAAGCTCCAGTCCATAAAGTCGACGTTTACCAGGGAGAAAACGGGATCACCTGCAGGTCAGAGGGGATCTATCCAAAGCCTGAACTCATCTGGTCCACCAGCCCTCCATCCAGTCTGACTTTCAAAAACACCACCACAGTCAACCAGACTGAACAGCAGCTTTACAACATCAGCAGCTCTCTGATCCTTTCAGGCAGTGATCACGATCTGAACTTCAGCTGCACCGTCAGCACTCGCAGAAACAGGAAGAGTGTAGCTTTTCTTAAAATGCGTAAGCAGTGATGAATGCAACTAATGCTTTAAGTGGAAATTTGTTATTAAACAGATTCAGTTTTTCAGTTGAAGATCATTGAAAAATGATAATTCATATGTACAGTAAATCTGCATAATTTTTAGATTGGAAAGTTTCATAATGTGCTTTCATAAATATAAGTTTTGTGTGTTTTTGTAATAATATTTCAGCTTCTCAAGATGTTCTTGAGTATGAGAACACAATCCCATGCAGTCCATCAAACATTACACTCTCAAATCTCATTTGGAGATTCAACCACAGTCAGCTCATCCTGAATGGGACTGTCACAAACTACACAGTCTCAGAGAAATGGAAGCAGCATGTGAAGAAGCTTTCAGAGTCAGGCAGCCTCACACTACAGGACATATCTGC